ATGTGCACAAGCAATATTCAATCAGTAGCGCATTCAGAAAATCAGCTGAATTACATTGAATTAAGATATCAGAGAACTCTGTGTTGTGAGGGCTCCATAATTAGATACTATATGACTTCTTATGCTTAAAATTAACTTTGCATTAATCACAGTGGGGAGAGGATTTACATATAGCTCCATCTTGATCATGGAGAATAAAGAAACTTGCTGACAGTCTGGCACGGCAGCAGGAAACAGAAAATAAAGCAGATAAATAAATAAAGAGTGAAAAGGCAGAGGAGCCGGAGGCTCTGATTAACCCTGCTCCTCCTCAGCCTGCTCCTGCCGCTGGAACTCGGCGATCAAAAGAAGATGAAAATAATTAGAGTAAAACCTAATTAGACGGTGCGTTCTCATTACTGCTTCTCTTTCTGGAACGGGCTAGGCTACTGGCAGACAGCTGCCCAGGGCATGGAGGGTCTCAAGGGCCTGGCCACCTTGGGCTGAGGTCACTGCCGTTTTATCTAAACCTAGAGCAGAGCCACCTGGCCTCTTTATTACCACTGGCACTTGATCTTGTGCTTCCAAAACCTGGAAAAATCAAAGGAGACACCGCGGGTCCACACGTTCAACGGCAAGCGTTTCAGAAGTGGCCACCGTCATGGCGGTGCTGCAGGGCTGGGGGCTGTATTGGGGCATGGTCCTGTACCTTGCGCAGTGACGCCGATGTTTCCTGTGGCTTGCTCTCAGACCGGCCTCGCTCCACAAGCGGCGGCTGACGTCAAACGGGCTGCAGCTGGCCCCAAAACAGCGGGGCCGATAAGAAACACTGTCGCCTCCTCCCTGTCATGCCACCACTTCCCTCCTGCTCTTCCTGTTCAGCAGTTTCAATGGCTGCACTGTTTAAATTTATTAGTGCAAGTCACTGGTGCTTTGGCAACATTGAAATTAACCAACGCCAGTCGCCCACCAGACTAGACCCCTTCCGACATCTTGCTTCCTTTTATTGGTGGTTTGCTCTGGTTTACACACTTCCCTTTTTCATCTTGTGAGCTTCTCCCCGCTCTTCTGCAGGCGTGGAAGAGGATAATGGAATGACAGTGCCATGTTTTTACACACGGCAACATTTCAGGCAGGACTGTGAAGTTGCATAACGGGCAACGCGGTGCCTTGCAGTTTAGTACCTCAGAAACACTGAAATCCACACCTGTCCGGCTGTCCTTGAAGTGCAAACCTATAGAGATATGTCTGCCTGCAAAGCTGCCCATGCATGTGAAGACTGCAACTCCCAGACCTGTGGGCAATGCTTTTAAACATGTACGAAATTCTGGACTCTTATGTAATGTGCGTTTAAAAAGCATTTGTGTTTTCCAGATCAGAGTGTGAGGGTAAATGCAGAAATGGGCGGCTCTTGGAACTGTGCAAAGCTTTATTCTAAATTTTGAATTGGGACAAATCTAAACTGAGCACAGTGCTCAAATTCTCTGTCTGGAAGATCTACATCTGTTTGTAGATGTCAGGTTGAATCTAGTTTGTGCTACTTTGACAGTGGGAAAGATTTACGGCAGTCACCTTTAGAAGATGCATCCCAGACTTGTCATCTGTACTCCTAGAAGGGGAAGCAGATATTTGACTGAATGAATGACTGAATGATTAATTGATTTTGAGGGAAAATGCCATTCCAAAGTATGGACAAAGTCTCTTTACCAAAGCCACGTTGCTAAAGTTTCATGGAGAGATTACCCAAACCCCAGCTGATCTTAAAGCCTTACATATTATTTTTGCTTTTGGACCAGCTCATTAAGTGATGCCTGCAGGTCATGTACAAATCCATTTCACAACACTCGGTGTCCTTTAATATTACAAACTTAACCAGCACATGAACAAAAATAATCTACTCACACAGGGGAGATACTTGGCTCTACCTCTACTGCTGCTCATAAAATTATTCTTTCCTCAATGTACAGATATATCTGCCTGTATAGAAGATATATAGGGTATATGCAGACAACAATGCAACACAGACTAAATACCCACTGTACTCTTAAGTATGCAAATGAAAGACAGAACAGGCTGTGACTCCAGTAACAAAACCGAGAAACAGCAGAAACCTCTTCTACAGCTCTGTGTGCCATGCTGCGCTCAGGCACTGATTAGCATAATTCCAAAGTAAGAAAGTGCCCATGGGCCCGTTTGTCCTTTGAAAAAAAAGCGCTGACGCTTGGCCTTGTCCTCTGCCCCCTGGCACAGCCTGCCCTCGCAAAACCAAGCCTGCGGCCGGAGGTGAACACGTCCAGTGCTCTCGAAACGTACAGCAGCCCGCCGATGGGGACGTCTGTCCTGAAGACTCTGCCCCGGGCCCTGCTCTTCTGACAAACGAAGGGTTTCCCCCTTGTTTCAACCCACAAAAATAAGACCCCCGCTGCCCACACTTGCCCTCGTCCTGAAGACACGTCCTGTGAGTCACTGCCCACAGGCAGAGGGCAGGCTGTGCCAACACTCCCACGAGACACGCTGACCTTCTGGGGTCTCCAAGACAAACAGGACTGTGCAGTTCAGCGCTCGCAGGTCCGTTCACAGGTACATGTGGGGCGTTGAGCTCTGATTCACGAGTGGGGGCTCTTCCCAGCATGCTCATCGTTTTCAAGCATTAACTTGCTTTGTAATATAATGAATTTATTGAGACCATTTTCTCAACTGAGCATAGCTGTCACACTTTTTGCTCATCTGTTTGTTAAGTGTTGTTGCAAACAGAACTACATAACATGGTTATAAGGAGGATATGGGTGACAGCATCCTGCAGTACTCAGTCTGGGAAAGGGTGAAAAGTGTGCTACCTGCTCATCTTTGTAGCAAAAAGATATACAAAGGTACTGTGACTGTGGCTCTATGAGTTTGGCAATCTTAAAAATGTTCCCATTCAACAGGATAATTTGTAGCTCCATTGTACTTAAGGACGACTGCCCAGGAGCGGAACATGGCAACACAAGACGTCTTCTTGGCTCAAAGGACAAGGCATGTGCCCTTATTCTGCCATGGTGGCTGTCCATTCATGCCAATGGCAACTGCCTGTGCCTCAACTGTGAGATTTTGTTGGGTCGTGGTAAAGTCTGATTTGTACTACATTCAAGAATCTAGCTGTATTGTCCCCTGGGTGAAATCCAAGACAACCATATAACAAACAACAACAAATCCAATACAAAAGAGCCTCTGGAGATAAGAGTTATTTTACAGTGTTTTGAGTGCCAGACAACAGAAGGGATGAAAGATTTCCTGAGTCTGTTACTGTTACACCTGGGGACACAGATGAGAGCGTAAATTCACAGTGCAGAGGCTGTGCCACGCTCTCCATAATGCTCTTCTTAATGCCTTCTTTACAGCCCACTGTTTATAGAGGACATGCAGACTGAGCTGATGTGCTCCAATGATTGTGCTCACTAATTTTTCCAACCTATTACAATCTCTGATACAGATATTGCCAAACCATTAAGTAATACAATATGCAGGTGGAAGAGTACTTTCTCAGACAAAAGCCATTTTTGGCCTGATCCAGGGGTTGTCCTTTTCCTAAATTTCCTTTGGTCTTTCTTTCCTTCTGCCAGCTGGACACAATCTGTACAGGACTTTGTGCCACCATGAATCAGCTTTCACCACCTCATCTCGTCCAACGTGTCAGATGAGCTGCAACATGTTTAACTTCGTCTTTAGGCAATCCCTGTACCAAATCCGTCTTTGCGCTACTCTGAATGTGCCAGCCCAGCACATAAAATTAGAACTCCTACCCACTGCAGTCAAGGGAAAACAGAACTGCACTGGGTATATTGATGCAGAGCTGTAAGCGACTACTAAGGAGGAGAGAACATGGAAATCAGCCTTTGTGTGGGGAAATAACTGGCCAACAATAACCAGAATAAAATGTTCCCATTATTTCATACAGTATATTCAACATCCATAAAATCCCACATATATCCCAGAGGAACACAGTGAATATGAAAAGGAAGAGGACACCACCCTGCTAGAGCACACTGTTTCCACAGTGAAAGTTGCTAATAATTCAAAAATAGCTGAGTGACAAATACAACACTTGAATGCATTTCTTCATACACATTAAACCAGAGCACATACTAATAAAGCAATCCCACAGCAGAATCGGTCTGAGAGAGGCCACTGGTCTCTGTGCTCTGACTGGCTCAGCTCAGGTGAAGACACAGCTGAGTAAGAGCCTGATTGGACAGAGTGCCCATGAAGGAGAAAGTTGTGTTGACAGGCAAGCCTTAGAAAAACACTCAGCCTTTTAGTTATCTGGCTTTGGCGGTGTGCAGATTTTTGCCGTGTTCTTCAATCCACTGTGCCTCTCTTAAGACATACACCCCGGTACAACTAATTTCCTGCCTAACTGTGGCTGGAAGGTTGCTGGTTCAAATTCCGCGGCCGGCATAGGAATCCTACTCCATTAGGCCCCTGAGCAAGGCCCTTAACCCCAGCTGCATAAATGGCTGACCCTGCGCTCTGGCCCAAAGCTTCTCTCCCTGTCTGGCTGCCTCATGGAGAGCATTGTTGGGGTATGCGAAAAGACAAATTCCTAATACAAGAAATGTTATATTCCCAATAAAGTGATCTTATCTTATCCCGCAACATCTGTAAAACAGGTCTCGGCTGTGCGAGCACCTTGCAGCAGCTCGGAGATGGAAAACAGGCGTTATTATAATGTGTTTCTGTGAAAACGCACTTCTAGCACTTGATAATGATACACTGCAATAATAATAATGATGAGGAGGAGAAGAACAACAAGAATATCCGTCCATCGTCATCAACAACATTACTGCAATACTGCCAATTCCAGTGGCAGGGGAAGGGCAGCGGCTCTCCAGCCTGCAGACAGCGCACAGCTCAGTGCTGATGGGAAGTGACAGCTGCTGATTAGCCAACTTGCAGCCCCTCTCCGCAAACGCAACAGCAGCAGCCCCCACGCCAAGCCGTGAGCAGGCTGCCTGACAGGGGGGATGCAGGGACACTCCTACCTTCAGGAGATAGACCGGGATGTTGCTGAAGTCGACCGGGAGCTTCAGGAGGAACCGTGCAGAGAACTCCCCCGTCTGGGCAGGACAGAAGGAAAGAAGACAATAATACAGCAATGTCTAAATTTAAATATAATTGAAATATAAAGCAAAGTAATATGACAATCTTTCGCTTTTGCCCAGTGGTATCAGGTGGCACAGTGGTCATCGCTTCATGGCCATGGCTCCACCAATGCAGTTGTTTATGAGTAAGGAAACGGCCTGGGACACCATTTCACTGGCCCAGGACTAGATGGGCACTGAACCCAGACTGGTATTATGAGCTTCACTCATAATAAACACACCTAGCCCCTGTTGCATGACAAAAATTCATGCCAAAAGACAAATGGCATATTCTTAAGCACAGAGACACTCTGAGGTAATTGTGGAATTGTTCACGCCTGTTCCAGGAATTCGTGAGGATTACAGCTCTGCAGAGGGCCAGTGCCACCTGTTTTTGTGGACATGAACTACAATAGGACCTGATCTGAAACAAGATACAAATTCTACAAATGTGTTCAATCTGTAAAACGCAACATGCTAAGTTTTTTTTTTAATGTTCAACATGCTGCACTGGGAAGCTACGGTGTAGCTGAATGCAACACCTTTGTAACTTTCATGTCTGGAACTGTCTGCCCTCACACAGATCAGCATGACGTTGCCGTCTTCACGTAAAAAAGAAACAAACATCAGTGTTTTATCTACCTGTACATGCAGATGACCAGACCAGGAGCCTGATGGGGCTGCAGTCTCTATTGGAAATAACTGGAAGTAATGTTGCTGTGCTTCCAAAATGAGCTATTATGTGCCGGGGTTCTATTTAGAGCATCCTTATGCCTGACAGCAGCGTCCTCACACAGTGAGCACTGCCAGGTCACTGCCCATTCACCTGCAGGCCAAGCCCCAGAAAAAAGAAGATTTCTAGGGAGTTCCACAAAGCGGAGAATCCAGGGAGCGTACCCAGCTGTTCTTGTGCCCAGCGTAGACCTCCATGCTGCGCCCGTAGAGGGGGTCCTCCAGCAGGCTGTCGTACTCGAAGAGCAGGCGGGAACTCTCCCGCAGCCGCTGGCACTGGTACTGGTGGTACTGCTGGATCAGCTCCTTCACCAGCTGCAGGAGGCACTCGGTGTCGCCGGCGTCCCAGCTCACCAGGTGCTGCACGGGGAGACGGAGGGGGGGAGAGGGGGGAGTGTCAGACCTCTCCAGCTGAGCCCTCAGCTCCAGCAGTTCCTTGCAAGAAAGTGAACTGTGGTAAAGAAGCCCTGCCGGATGGAAACGAGCAGGCTTGCCATCGGGCATGCTGTAGACGACAAGGCACCCAACACGAAACACAGCTTTGGCCTCGTGCGTTACGCAGGGCCTGATGCAGATGCTGGTGCAGAAGGCGCGAATTGATACCACAGATCTGGAGAAATGGACTGTCCCACTATGCTAAGCAGTGCTCATTTCAATAATGCAGGGCTTTTGGTATTTAAGTTGCTTTGATTTACAGGTTTATAGGACTAGCACAGAACACCTGCTTCTAAAAACAGTAGGGGAACTGTAAGAGCAACGTATTTCCTCTGTTCACCTATAAAGGACACACTGGCTCTGCAAAAATGTCTGCCGCTATCTTTTGCTTTTTTACATGGAGTAGATCAAGGGGAGCATTCCGAGTCGCTGTCCGGGAACAGTCGGAGATCAGGCTCTTGGGTGTCCCTTAGCAGCCCTGCTGGAGCGGGAGGTTGAGTACAGCAGGAGCGGTGAAAGATGAAAGAGTTGAGAAAACAATAGAAAGCGGCGATAGCAGCACAAGCTCCTCATTATTACCCCAGAACTAAAATAATCGCTTCCACCGCGGACTCAGCCAAGCTCTGCTCCTGGGGAGGGGAAACAGCAGTGGAGCAGGATTTCCTGATCTTATCTGTCCCAGTGCAGGCTTGTATGGAGCAAGATAACCAGCCCTTCCACTTCTGACTTTCTTATTATTTCACCCCAACTCACAAACACGTTGACATTTGCATCTCATTTGCCAAGACCCCGGAGCTCTATGGCAGGGTGTGTAGTGCCACACACAAAAAAACACTGGGATTTGATAAAACCACAGGAGTACAGAACTGAGCTGGATGGTTCAGAGGGTTATTTCAATAGTTTGCCAAGTGTCTATGTACACAAAGGACCTGGAGTAGACCCATTCATTGCTCCGTGCGAGACCAAGAATCGACAGCTCCACAACCTCTTGCTCACAGAGTTAAAGATACATGAAAGCAACATCTGTCAAACCCACAGGAACACGTAGGCCCCCTTTCCAGGATATTTTAATCCACATTCCTCATTTGCATAGCCTCTACAACATACGGCTCTTAATTCTCTAAAGTTTTAATTATAAACAAAATCTTCCTGAATAACCAAATAACTGTGCAGACAAGCCAAATTTTATTACACAATTTTAATGCTCGATAGTCCAGTGGCATGATGATTACCACTGCAGCCTCAGAGCTCTTGGGTTCTAAATTCGATTCTGGAATGGAACCTTTACTTTTACTACTGATAACCAAGTAATGAGTCACAAGCCCGGACAACTTCCATTACAGAGTGTGTGTTCTTGCCACTACTATTGTTAGTACAACTATTTGGATGAACTATCATAATGATAACAGTCATTGTTATGTGAATTATCATCACCTCTCTGAGAGCAGGGTTTGATCTAGGGTCAGCCTCTGAAAAGCTCTTTAGAGACACAGCTGCATTCTGATGAGCTGTGCAGGTACAGTGATGAAATCATGTAATTTACAGCTCTTTTGTCCTTGGTTTGATTCTGGCTTGGAGCACGTTCAGTGAGGAGTCCGCATGGCCCCCCTGTGGCCTTGTGGGTTTATTCTGGGTGTTCTTGTTTCGCAACACTTACCAGAGTGATTGGCATTTTTAAATTGTGCTCTCATGCATATGTTGTGATTTACTGGTGGTTGTCCTGATTGCACCCTGCGCTTGTAAAGTAATAATTATAATAATAATAATAATAATAATAATTGCTTACACTTATATATCGCTTTTCTAGACACTCCACTCAAAGTGCTTGAGTAAGGCTCTGACTCTCACTACTCTTGGAAGTTAAAGCAGTAACTGAGAATCAGTACAGGGGTGATGTGAGAGAAGACCAAGCAGCACATGAAGCAGACACACAGAGATGCATCTGGTACCCTGGGCCTCTGGCAATGTGCACGGACTGACACAGGATCTCATACCATTGATGTCATAACTGGACGTGCCCTATGTCTTTGTGAGTGCTTATCATAGTGTACAGTAGCAGGACTGCATTTCAAAATACTGACTACATATTCTTTCCTTTAAGAGGGATTATGGAAATGTTACAATTTCACACATGTTAGGGCTCAGGGCTGAAAGGGCAGCCCTCTACAGGAACACGCAGAACAACCATGTTTCTTTCAAGGGATGGAGGGAATCTTAACCCTTAATATTTAATGAAATGGGACATGGAAATGCTATGAGTGTACACCAGTCTACAGGGTACAGACCTGAAGTGCCTGATAAAACAGAAGAAATCACATTAAAAAAATAAAAAAGAAAAACGCTATGTATTTTTTAAAGATTCTATTAATATAAAAAGGCTAAGGGATTCAGAACAATAACTTGAAAAGAAAGACAGACAACTTCTTAATCTTTGTCAAACTTGGTTTGGAGTTTAAATGATGACTTTCTGGATGATTTTGTAGTTTTATGATGTAAAATATATTTTTGCGAATTTCACTGAGATAAAGAACAAAACATAATATTTATTGCTTTATATACAATGAAGGAATGCAAATTATAAAATGACAAAAAATCCTCAGGTGCTATAAAAATAAGATCAGAAGAAACTGAATCAGAAAAATTACAAGCCCCCTGTGGCTGCTTTCACTCACATTAGTAACAGCTCATTGTTGTGTGCTTTTTCCTCTCATTCCGGTTTAAGAGACTGAAACTCTAGTGTCTGAGAAAGCTGGATTAGAAAAACAGTTTTGTGTTTTTTAGGCATCTGCTGATTTTGTTTCACCACTTTGTCTGTACTATCGTGGGCCTTGTATAAAGAATACGAATACTTGCTTTGTGCTGCTTCTATGGAAAATGACTAATCAGAGCCCAAAAAAATAAAGCTGTTCGCCATTCAATTCTAGGACATATCTGATGTTCTCGTAAGAGAGGTACATTACTGTCTGATTGATTTGTAAAAAAACTGATGAACTGTGCTTTCATCCATCCCTTCCTTATCCAAAAACCCTCTTATTCCGGGTAACGGACGTGAAAACCCCGAGCCTTACCTAGAAGCACAGAGCACAAGACTGGACCGTACCCTGGACAGGACAATGCTCCATCGTGCGACACACACAGACAAAGGCAATTTAGAAACACCAGTTAACCTAGTCAGGAAGGTGATAGTCCTCTGAGACCTGTCTTTCAGCCACAAACCCCATCAAGGAAAAAAAAGAGGTTCTGCAATGCTACACTCAGGGCACTGCAGGCTCCTGGATCTCTTTCAGCTACTGATACTTAGCACACCTGGTTCAGGGTATTTCCACCTGTACACCGAGACAGCTTTTTTCTACTATTTTTATCAAGCTGAATCTGTACAGCAAAATCTCCACCCTGTCATGTCCAGTGACCTTAAGCACTGTAGTAGTCATGGCCTACAATGCTTTCCTAAATTTGAAGTACTCCACTTCCAAAATAAACTGGTGAGGACCAGTGTAGAGGATCTAGGAGCTGGGAAATTCCACTGATTATGGGCACCTGTGCTGTGTAGAAGTTAACATGTAGCCACCACACACACACACAAAACCAACTTTTATTTGATAGGTTTATTTTCCCCATGGACAGTGCCAATTCATTTTCTGCACACTGCCAACTTGGGAGTGCAAAATCGCTGGGTTTCTCACAGTACTGGAAATCCTTTGTGGCCCCTCTGGGTACCATTGAAACAGGCACAAAACCCCCCTGCAGAACGGGGAGGGAGTATGGGATCGCCAGGGCAGTAGTCCTCTCCTGCCTCAAAATTGCAACAGATGGCAAGCAAGCAGAACTGTGTAATGATGTCCGCCCTTAAGTGCTGTGGACTCAAACACACCACTCCCTCCTGCAGGAAAGTAAGGAGGGCTTACTGACAATGAGAAGGACAGAAGCCTTTGCAGAGAACCTGCTTCCTTTAAGTCCCACAAGATGTGTCTGGACAGAGCTGGGCCTTTGGAGAGTTCTTTAAAGAAGAGTAATGAGACACTTTCCTCTCTAATTCCTTCTGGCTTAAGCCTAGACAGATGAGCCCTCAATTCCCGTAGCTCTGCACAATAACTCCCTTCCAGTCTTCGCAACATATTAAAACAAACAATGGCTCTGGGGATATTGCCCATTTCGACATCTTTCCTGTGTCACAGCCCTAACTCGAAGACAATGGTCAATAGCAGTAGGACAGGCTGACTAGAAGAACTGCATTGTGGGCGTTTGTTAGTGTTGGCAGCAAAGCAGATGGAAATCTTACCTCTAACAGAAAATTACTCAGTTCCTGTCTGAAAACACTTTAGTGAACTGTACTTATCTGCACCGGGGATGCAGCTGGCTCCGTGTTATCAGGTAAAACTGAAACATTCAAAAATTAAAGTTTGAAACTTCAGGTTTATGCAGCAGCCCCTCATCCTTGCTCTCAACCTATTTCACAGCACCTCTAATGTGGCCTCTAAAGCCCCAGCTGTATGATTAAATGTAATATTTAATGAAAGCCACATAAACAAGAATACTCTATTTCCCAGTGCCCATGACTGATTATGACTGCAGCTCGTCTGTCAGGTGCTTGCTGGAACTCAATAAACACATCTTGTCTCAATAAGAATGCTGTATAGCACCCTGTGCTCCTCTTTTGGTTTTGTACATTTAAGAATTTCATGTTTTTTTCAATCACAAAACATACAATTAAAAACACCTAGCTTTATCAAAAATCAGAACTGCAAAATGTGGCTTGGATAAAGTAGGAAACATCTTACATGGCGTTAATGAGGTGGCGTTTTGCCACAGTGATCTGCGTGGGAAAGGTCATGGCTTTTTTGCTCTCCACATCCGATTATCTGTGGGGTAATGAAGTCTGAAACTGCTCTCTGGGCAGCAGTGTGGTGCAGTGGTTAGGGCTCTGG